CCCCTTACCCTAACCATCAAAAATGAATGCCTAATCCTAACCCTTATCCTAATCCTAACCCTAACCTAATTGTTACCCTGACACTAAAACCACGTTTTGAGCCTCAAAAATGCCTTTAAATATGTGAGGACCGGGTTGTGTGTCCTCACAAGTGACTGCTGGTTCTCACAAGTATAGTAGAATGCAGATTTCGGTCGAACGAACGACAGACAGGTACTACAGATGTGCAAAGGTCTGTGCAGACTAGTAACCATCTGTGAAATGAATGCAAAGTGTGTCCAGAACACAGGACATTCTTTCTGCATTTACTTGCCGCAGACACACCTGGCCAGTGACCAGACTGAATACTCAGTGGTTTGTAGTGATGCATTTTGGTGTCCTTGGAGTTCTCTTGTATCTTTTTCTAGTGTTTTGATTTGTTTTCACACAGAAAAAAAATCCAAGTTTATAAACTCAATCGTTCTGCTACGATGAAGGAAGTATAAATAAATGAAAATAATCTAATTTGCTACAGTGCATCTTGAGTATAGGATCTTGTTAGATTTAGGAACCTACAGTTTGTCAAAATAGTTGCAAATTAATATCAATGGTGCAAAGGGGGCATCATCCTAACATGTCAAAAATAATGGTGGTCACCAGTGCTACCCCTCAGTGTTCTAGCAGATGCACCTATGGTGTAAACTTGAAAATCCTCGGTGAGGACCTTTGACCTTGAGTTTTAAACTCATCTGAGATTTTTAGTAGATGCACCTATGGTATCAATATGAAAAGCCTACATCACCCCATTCCAGTTATTGCATTCACAAACTTGAATGTCCATGCCACTGTCTGCCCAATGACAATACCCCAGCAGGCTTTTACAGCTGAGGGGTAAAAAGTGCAAAATGGATCTTTAAACGTCAGAATAATTACTTCTTATCAGAACAGTGCAACATGCAAAAATTCCCAAATGACCGATATAACAAACAGATGTAGGATTTACCTCATGGGTGCCTGACCAGATGTCTCTCATGTGGTCACAGATGGCCTTGGCTGCAGACATGGCACTAGAAAGTTTCCTGGCCTTGATGACTGCAGCACCTCTCTGTTGCACAGTCTGCAAAGTAAGAACATGGGCCATTAAATGAAAATGCAGGAGTGTTATTGAGCTCTGTGACTAGGTTTGATTTTGAGAATCAGTTCTCTTTATCAACTGGACTCCTGTAAATGCTGCCCCTGCCTACTACTACTATACTTACTACCCAAATATCTGCTTTACATGTGCTGCACACTGCAAGCAACAAGGTATA